CCCTCATGGACGTGCTTTCTTCGCCTCACTCCTCACTCCCCTCTCAACAATTTGCCCGCTCAACATGAAGAAATTTAGGAAAGAAAAATGAGATGGGGACCTAGTTCAGCGGTCGCTGGAGTTCGCAAGATCGATTGCCGGAATTCTGGGTCGTTGCCGGAGAAGGGAACACGAACGCAATGTAGAGATTCTTTGAGATTTTCGAAAAATTGTAAACTTTTCAAAATGAAAGGAATGAGCCTTTTATAGGGGTACCAAACTCGCCCCAGCTGTTGGATCTCCCAAGTCGAATCAGGGCTATGCATTATTGAGACGCAAGGATCTCCGTTGAAGTCAAGGGTCATTTGAACCAACGATCTTGATGGAGTCGTGAATTCCACGCTTGACCCAAACACGTCGCCTTGAGGAATGAGAACCGTCGCCATCATTACCTTTTATGGCAAGGGGGCGTGCCTTGGAAGCAAGCGAACGTCTCCCTATGTTTGCCTTGGAAAGACGCGAAAGCCTTCAAATCATTGACACGAAGCCCAAGGCTGTCCCTCCAGAGCCCTCAATAGCTCCGACCACCACAGCTAACCGTTGCAACAGCTCTCCACAGAGTTGCCAACCTATATCGCTTCGGCAGTAGTGTTGCAACAGCTCTCCACAGAGTTGCCAACCTATATCATTTCGACAGTAGTGTTGCAACAGCTCTCCACAGAGTTGCCAACCTATATCGCTTCGACAGTAGTATTGCAATAACTCTCCACAGAGTTGCCAACCTATATCGCTTTGGCAGTAGTATTGCAACAACTTTCTACAAAGTTGCCAACCCTCATCACTTCGACCTGAGCAGAATTCAAAGTTGCCAGCACCTCATTCCCATGCTTCCCCACTCAAAAGTCCTTGTACTATATAAATATCTATACATGGACTTGCGGGACTATTGTTACGGGTCTATGTCAGACCCTTTACCTTGATCGCCACGTATCAGCATACGTGGCCAGTCTATGGATTGGCCGAGGCGGTTACACATGGAACGATCTAATTGTATCCACCGAAGTGACTGCCTCCTGGAACGAGCTGAATATGCACCAGCGAATGAACCAGACTCATCCACAATATGCGGTGGATATAAAGGCCCGTACTCCCTTCCATAACGCTACAACCCCCCACCTACCTCGTCTCGTCGTCAAAGATCTCTTGTACAAAAATCTTTTCAAAGTCAAATCCCTGGCTGATGGGACGTGTGACGGTCCCCAAACGGTCAACTCAGCTGCCATGTCAGAAAATATTAAATGCCAGCCAGCCAATGGATGGACAGATTGACACCTAGGATGGGGCGAATTTTGGAGATCTAGCAACACGTGTCTCCTCATCCAACGGTTCTTCTCGTCTCATCCTTAGTATAAATGCTCCCTCCTTATGTCTGAAGAGAGGAACTTTTCTAAGAGATTCAAGACATTACTACACCAAACACTTGGGTATTATCTTCTCCCCCACATTGTGGGCACTTCTATTATTATATACACATCCTCAAACCATTTCCCGGCAAGTGGTCTACCGCCGACGAACCCTTTTTTTTTTGTTAAATACCAAGCTGACTTGACCGTCGGAGTGCTTGCGGCCGCTCTCAATCCCTTCGGAAAAGGCTACGAGTGACTGACGGTGTGTCACGTGTGCAGGGAGGATCTGACTTGAAGGCATTTTCTGTCGACCACGTGTCATAACCATTTTTCGAGATCAACAAAAAGCTCTTGAGAAATTTACAAATTAAATGACACCCTGCACAACATAATTTCCTAAAAATAAAGTCAAATTCAAAGACGCGACCTTCATTTGAAGCAAAGTATCTCAAGTGGAGAGTTGCGCTCACCAGAGAGATAAAATTGAAGATTTTTTAGGTGGCTCTATCTTGTTTCAATGCCAGCGGCAAACCAAAAACAAATTCATTTACAAGAATTACAACAAAAAAACACAGAAAATTGAGGTCGGCAGAATTATACTACTTCAGTAACGGAACAAGAGAAATTAAATAAAAAAGAAAAACATTTACCTAATAATTAAAGAAAAAACCAAAAAATGTAGCAGGTCAAAATCGACAAACTTGAACAAAAAGAGAAGCTTCAAATGGTTCAATTACAAGACGAACAAGAACATGAAGAAGCTTTAAATGGGTTGACTGAAAACTACAGAAAGATGAGAGAATTAACTACAAAAATTGGTGTTCGAAAGAAGAATATATTATACTCTCTTTGGAAGTGGTATAAAGGCCGACCTTGGAACGAACTCCGGCGCCTTAGCGTTTAGCTTACTGCTAACAGAGGCAAGGTTGCTAAATCGGCGGATACAAATGCCTTTGAGAGAAAGTGAATGGAAAAGGTAAAGGCAAAGGTTTAGTGCAGTTATGCTCTTTTCTCTCTCTCTCTCTCTCTCTCTCTCTCTATATATATATATATANAATTATAATGAATAAAATTTCTCACTCAAGTCTATAACTATTGATAGGAAATAAATCAAGTACAATAACAATATGAGATTAATCTTAAGTTATATTTTTGAACATGTTTCCATTGCTAATTTTCCCCATGTGGGGGCCATGTCCAAACTAGTCGAATTGTTGACTACGAACCCTGGAAGTATGTCTATTGTCTATTGTTTATTACGAACCTTGGAAGTGTGTCTGTTTGTTCCATAGAGAAGTACTGAAACGACCACATCCATAGAGTGTTGAAGAAGCGGCGGATACGTGTCATGAAAATGTGTTCCTCTCTTTGGTACAGCAATTCACCAGCTGATATCAATACACACAGCACATATAGAACAGGCCTAATGGAGTCGGGGAAGAAGATCGATGCCAGTGATGCCACTGCTGTATTGCCAAAGAAAACCATACAATGGAAAGGGTAAGAGGGGGGGTTATCAAACCTCAGCTTCATGCCATATGCCAGAAAAGCATACATTAAGAAACTAACAACGGCCATATGCATCGTTTTGGAGTGAGTTATAAATGGACTTTTGTCTATTCCCTGATACTTCACCTGCGAGAATGCAAGCAACGTAGAAACAATGAACTTAACGCTTTTACCATTGGAAGTGATTGTAAACCCTACATGAAGGGTATACAAAATCTGGAATCTAATATGGACACTGGCAGCACAAAATTGTGCCCAGGTGAAGTTGAGAGAAGGCATTCCCCTTGTGGCTTGTGACTCTGGATTTTTGGTATGCAGAATTGACCCCTCCCTCCAAATAGAAAAAGGGTATTAGACGCTATGATGCTAATGACATTCTCGGATCTCTCAGGATGTGACGGTCGAATCGAAATGTGGAATATTGGTGTGCAAAAGATATTTATCGCCGAAGTTTTCCTCGGTTCTTGATGACTTATCAAATAAGCAATG